ACTCTCTCCCCTTTCCCCAACCTGACAAGCCACCACCATGCTATGACTTAGGACATGCTGTTTTCAACCTATCCATCGGCTCAGGTAAAATAACTTGCCACTTCTTAAATCAGCAAGGCGGTGTGCCTCTGCTCTAACCTGACCTGGGCGCAGAGTGTCTCTCAGATCCTCGGAATTCTGGCTGATCACACCACCTCTGCTGTCAGGGGCTCCTTCCAGGGACATGAGACTTCACCTGCCACCTCCAAATCCCACCAAATGGTCTCCAACAAAACACCACTCACTGCCATGGAGTCCACTCAGATCGACAGCAATCATACGGGGCAGGGTAGACCTGCAGAAGTAAAAAGCCTCGTCTTTCGACCACAGATGGGCTGCTAGTTTTGAACAGATGAGCTCACGGTTATTAGCCCAATGCATAATCACTATGCTACCAGGCCGCCAGGCCAACACTCTAATCTCTGTTTATCCAAATCCCATCCAACGTTCAAGCCGACTCAATGGACATAGTTTCCCCAGTTCTAGCCCTTTAGGTCTCTCCCTCATTCCCTGGGAGTAACTGTCTCTAGCCCTCGGACCCTATCCTTGTTCTCCTCTTGGTTTGTGTGCTCAAAGTCTGGGCAGCTGATGAGGAAGAACGGCCACTTATTAGCCATGTGATGTTCCCCAAACCACCCGTGTTTGAAATTGCACACAAATGTCACTCCAACCACATGAAAATTTACATGAAGATGCCCTGTCCATCCCAGATGTTTGTCCATTGCCAGATGGGATATCTCAGTCTCCTTCTAACAACCGCCAAGTGTTGGTATCACTGAATGCTAAAGTCTCAGGAAACATCAATCATGTGCAAGTTAGTGAAAGGAGAACCCAGTTCTCTCTGGCACATTTCTTCCTATCTTGGACTGAACCACTCGGGAATCCCTCCAGCACACCATTTTGTGATTGTGCAAGAATGTGGAGCCTTGGTGGTGTAGTGGTTACGAGTTGGATTGCTTAACCACTAGGTACGCAGTTCAAAACCACAAGTCACTCTGCTGTCAAAAGACCAGGTTTTCTACTCTGGTAAAAAGAGTTACAGTCTTGGCAAATGGGTGCATAAGTAAATGTGGTGAAGAAAGCTGATGGTGCCCGGCTATCAAAAGATATAGTGTCTGTGGTGTTAAAGGTTTGAAGGTAAATATGTGGCCATCAAGCTGAGAAGCAACAAAGCCCACATGAAGAAGCACACCAGCCTGTGTGATCGTGAGGTGTCCAAGGGATGAAGTATCAGTCTTCAAAGAACAAAAACATCATATCATTGTGAATGAAGGGGAGTGCAGATTGGGGACCCAAAGCCGATCTGTAGGCAACTGGACATCCCCTTACAGAAGGGTCTCGGGGAGGAGAAGAGGCAGTCAGGGTGCAGTGTAG